AATGACTTCCATGAAAGCCTCCAGTGACCTTCACCTTGTTAAATTCAGCAGTCATTTCTCAGTTCTTATTTTATTTAACCTATTAGCAGCAGTTGCCACAGTTTATCACTCCCTCCTCCTTCAATTTCCTCACTTGGCCACTGAATCACCTTACCTAGCTAGTCACTGTTCTCAGTCCAATTTGCGGATTCCTCTCATCTTCCCTCCCTCTTGCAATTGGAGTGATCAAAGACTCAGTCATGTGTCGTTCTCGATTGAACTAACCTCCTTAGAGCAGCATGGTTCAATAGAAAAACAATGTGAGCCACAAATACAAACTATACATGTAATTTGAAATTTTATAGTAGCTACATTAAAAAAATAAAGAGAAACAGATGAAATTCATATATATGTATATATAATTTAACCCAATATACCCCAAAATACTAGCATTTCAAAATATAATCAATATAAAATGTTATACTTGAAAATGAACAAGATGTTAATGACATTAAATTAAGCATTTTATTGTTGCTCCAAGTTTAAGAATTTTCACTGAAAGAAAATACATACTTACAGAAAAATCTCCTGCATAGCCCTGCTCAGCTTCTGAATCCCAATTTTTGTGGACATATCCACATACTTATCTCCAATACGAACTATTGTTCCACTCATGATTGAAAGGTTAATCTTAACCTCCAGTTTCAATATTTGGCCTTGACTTACAAAGCTCTTCAGAGCTGTTGTTCATTCAGAAAGAGTGGCTTTGTCTAAAGGAGATGCAATGATAACTATGGAAGGTACTACTTCATGGTGGATAGTCATCATTAACATTAATGAGATATTTTAAGTTCTTTTGTCTTAATACCAACTTTTTGAAATCCAATGTGGTAACCTTACAGCATATTTCAATTCAGACTAGCCATATTTCATGAGCTCAATACCAGTTACATGCGTCTAATGGTTGCCGTCCTGGACAGCATGTCTCCAGATGATCTCAGTCAAGCCCTTAACTTAAAATAACATCTATATGTTGATTACTCTCAAGTTTATATTTCTTGCTTGGATATCTCCCCTGAACTCCACATTCAGATATTTAAGGGTCTACTTGACATCACTTCTTGGATACCTAATATATATCTCTAACTTACCATGTCCAAAACTGGACTCTTGGTTTCCTCCACATTTGCTCTTCCTGATCCCAGATACTGGCAACTCCATCACTTTAGAGGCTTAGGTCAAAAACATTGGAGTCAACACTTACTCTTCTCTTTGTCTCAACTTCACATTCAGTCAACAACTCCTGTGGCACTATTAGTTCCATATTTAAGATAGGAGGGGGACCCTCCCCCCAAAACCCCGTAATTTATTTACTAAATGTTGTGTATTTATTCTTACATGTTTAAACTCCAGTCACCTTCAAAGTACTCTCCATTTGATGCAATACACCTATCAGGACTTTTCCACTGCTCACAAGTTCTTGAACTTGTTGATTTTAATGCCTTTTAGTATTGTACTTCTGCCATTTTTCATTTCACCTCTTCCACATTGGCAAAACATTTCCCTTTGAGGACTTTTTTTCATATGGGAAAACAAAAAAAAGTCATTTGGGGTGAGATCAGGTGAATAGGGAGGGTGGGGCATGGGGGTCATGCTGTTTTTGGTCAAAAACTGCTGAACACATCATGGGGTGGGCAAGTACAGTCATAAATAACCCATCACGAAATGGGTAAATGTGTAGAAAGTCTTCAAAAAAAAATTCAGTGGAGCCAAATGCAGCCTCTCCAAACAGTGCCAGCGGGTACACTGATACAGACGGGTTCCTAGAACACTCACCTAGTGGGGGAAGCCTGTACTATAAGGAGCCCGCCCTCCAGAAGATGATTCTGGGGTTTTTTGGACTCTCCCCTCATATATTTAGAATCTGACACACTAACACTACCATGGTTTGAACTCCCATTAACTCTTGCCTGGATTAATGCAATAGCCACCCAAACTGATCCCTCACAGTCCAGTCTCCTCATAGCAGCCAGATGTCCCTTAACATACCCAGATAATGTCACTCCTCTGCTGAAAATTCTCCAATGCCCTCTATGACTTTTAGACCTCTACAAAGTTTGACCTCCTGTTACTTCTGACTTCTTTTCTTACTATTCTCCTTGCTTACTCTACTCTAGCCACCCTCTCCTCCAGCTTCCCTTTAATATGACAATCATATTCTAGCTTCAGGGTCTTTAGATGTACTGTACCTTTACTTATCTCCACGGCTCACATTCTCATCTTTGTCAAGTCGTTGCTTAAAATTATCTTCTCAGGGAATGACCTGAATGACTGACTGAATGATATGACATGTAATGAATAGCTGTCATGAAGAGGCATCAGAGCATCCGTGCCACATGTTTACCTTACTAACAAATCAAAGCACAATTAACTTTCAACATTTATTGAGTACCCATTATATAAAAAACAGACATGTGTATGGTTGGCTGGTCTTAGTGAAAGAAGACACTGAAATAATCCTTGTGGCTTTAGAAGAGCGATTTTCAACCTTTTTTTTTTTCTTTTCTTTTTTTTTTTAGAAAGTTTATTTAAAAAGTCACAGAGGTAGAAGAAGTGAGCCAAAGAAGAAATGGGCTCAAGAAACAAGTTACAGTGGCAAAGAAGGGCACTTGGAGCTTAGGAGAAAGACAGAAGCAAGGAAAACACTCCTGGGAGAAGGGGGTGGGGAAAAGTGTGAGTGTGCTCCATAGAGAGAGCCACCAACCATTTCCATCTCAGGATACACATAAACTAATTACCAAAGTGCTGCAGGACACCAAAATATATATATATATTTTACATATTGACAAAAATGAGTATAATTTTTATTGATTTATAAAAAATAATAGTAATTACCTACCTTTTGTTCCAAAGTGACTTTTTAAAAAATCAGGTGCCTATACTCATGTATAAGGATTTCTGATACCAAGAATTAAGCAATCAGATGCAAACTTGTTACGCAATGTGACCAATAACATGCAGTTTTATTGTGACCTACAGGTTTATGGTTCAAAATAGGGCATTTACACCAGACGGCTATTGTTGTGTTCGCTGCCGTCATTTTTTTAATTTGACAACCTAAGGGAAAGGAGGTCAGTGCAACTGACTAAATAGTCAGGTATAGCATGTTTTTAAAAATTCTTGCAGCACACGGATTGAAAATTTTAGAAGGTTCTTGAACATTTTTAGCACTTACTAAAATAAATGCCTGATTTCTTTAGTTAAAACAGCATTTATTAACAAACAAGAATATCTTGCCAGATATCTTAGGGTACCTTCCTCCTAGCAATCACAATCTACAAACATAATCCCTCTATCCAGGCATTATTTATATCACTGCGCTATTAGAACACTTGGTTCTAGCCCTAGTTTTATTCCAAGCTTGATTGGTGATGGAGTAAGTCACTTTTCCTTTAACTATCTCAATTCTTTTATTCCTGATAAAATGTCTAATCTCACCCAGTTCCCAAATCGAGTTAGGAGTGTCCTCTTAACTGTATACTTTGTATACTTGGGTGTTACAAACTGCACAATTATGTATGCATTATGAAGTTTGAGAACAAAAAATCGCTTTCAAATCTAAGAATTTCTAAATCAGGGCTACTTAAAACTAGTCTTCAGTTTGTGGTAGACTTAAGATCTTTTGCCTTTTCCTTTTTTTTTAACCCCAATTTTCACTTAACACCCTTTCGATGATTGCACTCATAGCTTATTTTAGTTCACATCTGGTAATGTCTCAGTCCAACCTAGCTCAAAATAAAGGAGAAACATCATCAACCTGAGACAGTAAAATGTGTAGTTTACCCAACTTGGAATGCACATTTTAGTCTCAGGTAAAAGGGTGGGGAGAAAAAAGGAGGTACTGAAGGAGCAGATCAAAAGAGAAGAGAGTAATGTTTAACTTATTAAAATGGTCCAATTCAATCCAACAAGTGTTTATTGGGTGCAAAGCCCCTGCTAGTCATTTCAGTAATGCCAAGATGAGGAAGACAGTCTCTGCCATCAAAGCGTTGGGAGTATGAGGTGAACAAAAAGTGCACCGATTATTAAAACACCATGCAGAGTACCCAAAGGAAAGACGAGAAGAAATCTGACACAAATTGAAGACATTTTAATATACCAGGGGCAGTCACATATATTAACTCATATACATTAAAAACTCTTCCAGAACTTCCAGGTAAACTCAGGGAGGATAAGTAATTTGTTCAAGGTCATTCAAGCTAGAAAGTTAGTGCATACTGGCTTTGTCCCCAATCCGGGTTCCAAAGCCGAGGCTCCTTCCAGGACGCCGTTGCTAAGGGGAACCTCCAAGGAGTGGGAGGAAACGAGATATGACGTTACTCGCAGTTGCGGTGGAGGGAACAAAGAAATCAGAAGAGCTCTTTGGTGCGGTGTGTGAGGTGGGCCTCGAAGGATGAACCGGAGATGGGGGGAGTGGGCAGTGTAAGAAGAGGGAGGGACTTCCAGCTAAGTAAGTGATGAGAGCTACTGGCTACTCTCCTAATTCTTCAGTCGAGGAGTCAATGTAGGGAAAACTGACGTCCCTTGGGTCCCCTCTTCTCTCCCCACGACCTTTCCCTTTGGTACTTTTCAGTGTTCACCAATGTTACCGTTAGACATCTATTGTATCTGTAACTTGAAAAATCTCAATGTCTTAAGAGGGACCAGAGTCCTTTGGACGCTGGGTGGGGATACGACCAGCACCCCTGACACACCCCCTCTCTCCCACCTCCTCAGCCAGACCGACACCTGGGCACCGTTCGTTCGCGGGGAGGAGGACTCCCCCCACCAGATTTTCGCCGGTGGGAACCGGGGTCCGAGACCGGGTGGTGGCGGCGTCCGGGTCGGCGGGCGAGGCTGACGGTGGGGGGAAGCGCGGGCAGAATAGCTGGGCGGCGGGCGCACCTGCCTGGCGCGGCGGGTCTCCACGCGGCTGCGCGGACCGACGTGCCCCTCCCCTCTCCCGGCCCCGCCGTGTGTTTACGTGGAGACGAAGATGGCGGCGGCGGTGACGGCGTTACCCGTGCGGTCGAGGACGGTCAGCCACTGAACTCGGAGACTGGTTCCACTCCGGGAGTGGGGAGCGCCGGCTTTCCCTGCTCCCTGGGCGGCGGAGCTTGAAGTCCCACCTCCCTCTCAACCGACCTTTCCTTCCTACCCCGACCCTCCCTCTATCTTCCCCCAGCCTTCTCCGCAGAGGCCATGGAGGACGAGGAGAGACAGAAGAAGCTGGAGTTCGGCAAAGCGAAGGTAAGAGCCGAAGGCTGCAGGGCCCGCGGTGGGAGGCGGTGGCTGGGAAGGGGTGGGGGCGGGCCTGGGAAGCGGAGATCGCGGCAGCCCGGTGCGCTGCCTGGGACGGGGCGCTGCAGGGTCTGCATTGCCCCCTCGCCTGCCTCTCTCCGTTTTCCATTTGAAAAATCCTGGTCTTACTACCTAGCAGATACTTCCGTGATGACTGGGTGGCGTGGCTTCTTTCTCGTGAACCCCCAAATAAAATCCTTCTTTTACTGTATTGCTACAAACTGGTATTTATTGCTTCTAAATCTCCAGCCTTTTACTTTTGGAGGTAGTTTTCTGGGTAGTGCAGTCATTGTGCTTTTCAGGGTGGGGATTAGGGGCTTTTCCTCGGTGAGGGATTTGTGCGCTGATCAGGATCTCGGCATTCTTAGGTGGCACGCTGGCATTCTTGGGTGTGTGATTGGCCTGTGACAGCTGCCTCATCAGTGGCTCGAATGTGCCACAAGTGCCAGCTGTGAACTTTGCCTTAAGGGCGTTTTTAGAAGCATGGCTTTGTATGTTTGTGTTTGGAGGTCTTTGTCATGGCATGCGCTTTTGTATTGTGTGGAATGTTAATGCAGTCTGTGAATGGAACTTACAGGGAGGAAAGGTTCCATAGTCTAAGCAACACCTTTGGAATTCCTGCTTTAAATAACTGAATTATTATGTGTGTTGGTGAATCTTTATGTGTGTATTTAAATACTACTGTAAACAATACAAAATTATGCACAGGTTTTCACTAGGCTTCGTGAAAAATTTGACATGGACAATATAAATTAAATAGCATTTTTAAAAAGTCACATATTTGAGCATATCTTTTGCCTGGTTTCAAGGGCCCCATTCTGCCCTATAATTAAATTACCTTTTATAGATTATATTCTAACCATCTTATTAGAGATGCTTGTTAGCAATCATACTTGGACCATAATTTAATTGTTATCTAGTTAATTGTTTTTCTCTCTTCCTCTCCTTCGCCTTCCACCAAATAAACAAAGAAACAAAGGCGAAGTGGTCTTTGATTTCAGTGATCATCAAAGGGCCATACTGCAGAGATGTAGTGGCAGATGCTCAACACAGCGCTCTTAAATGAATATGTATGTAAGCTAGCTTCGTATTCCTAAAATGTAGTTGGCTTTCAAAGCCCCCTCAAAGTTCAAAGCTTAAGTGCTTGTGTATTATGAGGTGGATTATATTACTTTGGATCTATAATGGAGGGAAAGGGGAATCAAGACATCTTCAGAAGCCCAATGTTGCTTACATTTCTGCAGCCTAAGGATCTGAGCAAGTTGTATGAATCGAAGAAAGTAGAGGTAAAGTGTGCACCTCTTCTAAGAGCATTGAAGTTCTAATTAGATATTGTTTGTTACCTTACAAATTTTACTCCTTGCCCCCAGAAGTATCTTTTCTAAATATGTATGAAGCAGCCCTACAAAATATACTTTACTTTAGACAACACATTTCATAATAGAGGATTTATTTAAATTGCTATACTTTAGCAAATAGGAATTCTAAGAGTTTCTTTGTGTATATGTGTGTTCTTTGTCTTTCAAATTCTGCCTGTGGGGTAAAAATCTCTTAACATTCACTTTTTTAAAAAATAAAATTTATTGCAGTGACATTGATTAACAAAATCATAGAGGTTTCAAGTGTACATTTCTGTGATACGCGCTCTGTGTAGTGCACTGTGTGCCCACCACCCACAGTCAGTCATCTTCTGTCACCATGTATTTGGCCCTCTGTACCCTTTACTACTCCCCGCTTCCCCTTGATGACCCCCATACTGTTTTGTGTCTACGAGTTTCAGTTTTATATCCCACATGCGAGTGAAATGTGGTTCTTAGCTTTCTGACTCACTTGTTTTTCTTAGCATAATATTCTGAAGGTCTGTCCATGTTGCCACAAATGGCAATATTTCTTCTTTTCTTATGACTGAGTAGTATTCCTTTGTATATACTTGTGTGTGTATACACACACACACGCACACACACACACACACCCCCCCCCCCACACCCCCTTCTTCTTTATCCAGTCCTCTTTCAAAGGGCATTTTGGTTGCTTCCATGTCTTTGCCACCATGAATAATGTGGGAATAAATGAATATAGGAGTGCATGTATCTTTGGGAATAAATGTTTTTAAGTTTCTTGGGGAGGTACTCAGGACAAGGATTGCTGGGTCATATGGTAACTCTATTCTTAATCTTCTGAGGAACTGTCAGGCTTTTCCATGGTGGCTGTACCACTCTACATGGTTTTGTGTTGAGTTGTATGAGTTCATTATATATTTTGGATATTAACCCTTCTTCGGAGCCGATATCATCGCCAGTTCAGTTGGTTGCCTTTCTGTTTTGTTGATGGTTTCTTTTGCTGTACAGAAACTTTTTAGTTTGATATAACCCCATTCATTTATTTTTTCCTTTACTTCCCTTGCCTTTGGGATCAAATTCATAAAATGTTCTCTACAACCAAGGTCCACAAGCTTAGTACCTATGCTTTTTACTCTGTAATATATTGTTTCAGATATTATATTTAGGCCTGATCTACTTTGAATTAATTTTTGTACGTGAGGACAAAATGTAGTCTAGTTTCATTCTTCTGCATGTGGCTTTCCAATTTTCCCAGCACCATTTATTGAAGAGGCTTTTTTTACTCCGTTGTGTGCTTTTGGCTCCTTTTTCAAAAATTATTTGCCCATATACATGTGGTTTTATTTCTTGGCTCTCAGTTCTGTTCCATTGGTCCATGTGTCTGCCAGTACTTTGCTATTTGATTATTGTAGCTCTGTAGTATAATTTGAAGTCAGGTAGTGCGATACCTCTAGCTTTGTTCTTTTTTTCTCAGGATTGCTTTGGTTACTTGGGGTTGTTTGTGGTTCCATACAAATGGGATGATTTTTTGTTCTATTTCTTTAAAAAAAGAAATTGGGATTTTGATGAGGATTACATTAAATCTGTATATTGCTTTGGGTAACATGGCCATTTTAAATGTTGATTCTTCCAATCCATGAACACAGACGGAATTTGATAATGTCTTTTTCAGTCTCTTTTAATAATGCTTTCTAATTTTCCATGTATAGGTCCTGCACATCCTTGGTTAAGTTTATTCCTAGGTCCTTTATTCTTTCTGGTGCAATTGTAGAAGAAATTTTTTTTTCTGATTTCTTTTTCTGAAGTATTATTGTTGGTATATAGGAAAGCAGTGGATTTTTATACATTGATTTTGTATTCTGCAGCTTTACTGTATTTGTTTATTGTTTATAGTAGTTTTTTGGTGGTGTCTGTAGGGTTTTCCATGTACAGAATCATGTCATTTACAAAAAGTGGCACTTTTACTTTCTCTTTCCCAATTTGGATGCCGTTTATTTTTTTTTTCTCTTGCCTGATTGCTCTGGCTAGGACTTCTAGAACTATGTTGAATAAGAGTAGTAAGAGTGGGCATCCTTGTCTTGTTCCTGATTTTATAGGAAAAGCTTTCAGTGTTTCACCATTGAGTGTGATATTGGCTGAGGGTTTGTCATATGTGGCCTTTATTATGTTGAAGTACTTTGTATATTATTTTATTGAGTGTTTTAATCATAAATAGATGTTGTATCTTATCAAGTGCTTTTTCTGCATCTATTGTTAACATCATAGTTTTTATCCTTTGTTTTGTTAATGTGTATTACATTGATCAATTTGTATATGTTGAACCATCCTTGTGCCCCTGGAATCAACCCCACTTGATCATGATATATTATTTTCTTACATCATATTAATGTATTGTTATATTTGATTTGCTAGTACAGTGGTACCTTAGTACTTGTTAATTTGTTCTGCAACCCATGACGAGTGCAGAAACTGATGACTACTGAAGGATGAAGGATTTTCTCTTGTGGGGCAGCGCCCAGACCCATGTAAGTTCCAGCAAGTGCCAACTAGTGGCAAGCAAGCACTGAGTGCTGAAACATTTTTTTCTCGTTATAATGCAAGTACAGGGTTTGACAACCTCTGAAGCCGAGTACTGAGGTATGACTGTATTTTGTTTAGGATTTCTGCATCTGTATTCATAAGAGATATTGGTAGTTTTCTTTTTCTGTGTTATCCTTGCCAGATTTTGGTAGCAGGGTTATGTTGGCTTCATAAAATGTATTAGGAAGTGTTGCCTCTTCTTCAGTTTTTTTGGAAGAGTTTGAGAAGGATAGTTATCAAATCTTCGTTCAGTGTTTGGTAGAATTCACTAGTGAAGTCCTGAACTTTTATTTTTTGGGAAGTTTTTGATGGTGGTTTCAATTTTTTCATTGTTGATCTGTCTGTTTAGATTTCTAGTTCTTCGTGATTCAATCTAGGAAGGTTATATGTTTCTAAATACTTAACCTGTTCCCTCTAGGTTATTGAATTTGGTGGCATATAGTCTTTCATAGTATTTTTGTATGATCCTTTTTATATCTGTGATGTTTGTGGTAACTTCTCTTTCATTTCTGATTCTGTTTATGTGAGTCTTCTTTTTCCTTAGTGAGTCTAGCCAGGGGGTTGTCAATTTTATTAATCTTTTCAAAGCCCCATCTCTTTGTTGTATTAATTTTTTTGTATAATTTTTTTTTGTTCTCTATTACATTCAGTTCTGCTCTAATTTTTATTATTTTTTTCTGCTGACTTTGGGTTGCTTTTGTTCTTCTTTTTCTAGTTCTCTAAGATGTAATGTTAGATTGTTAACTTGGGATTTCTTTAGGCCTGTAATGATATAAACATCCCTTTTATTACTGCTTTTTCTGCATCCCAGAAGTTTTGATATGCTGTATTGTCATTCCCATTTGTCTGTATGTATCTTCTGATCTCACCTTTTATTTCTTCTTTGACCCAGTCATTTTTTTAATAGTATGTTGTTTAATCTCCACATATTGTGGGTTTCTGTACTTCCTTTTTGCAGTTAATTTCTGATTTCAAAGCATTGCGGTCAGAGAATATGCTTGGTATGATTTTAATCTTACATTTTTTGAG